AGCCCCCCCCCCCCCCCCCCTTCCTTACCTAAATATGACGGCGAGTCGATCCAGGGGCACGGTGGGGTCTGAGGAGAGGCCATTGCTTGGCTCCTGAGACAGCAGCTGGAAAACAAGGCAAAAACAACGGGATTTCAGGATGGCAGGCAGCCCCGCTCCCAGCGAAGACCGAATTAACCCTCCCTGGATGCCCCCCCGCCCCCAGCAGCGCTTTCGTGTCCCCTTGGGGCCACAGCAGAGCGGACGTCTCCCCGCACCTCGCCGAGGACCTCAGCCACACGCAGGTGGGCTGCTCTGAAAGCCCAGGGCGGCTCCTCTTTGCGCCTCCTCCGCGTTCGGAGCCCGCTCCGAGGGGTCTCCGGAGGGGAAGGGAGCGGGGCCGGAGGTGGGAGAGGAGTTTGCCCACCGGGCGAGAGCTGCTGGGGGCGGGCGGCGTTGGCAGGAGGAGCTCTCAGGGTCATCCTGAAGAGAGAAGAGGACGTGCACGCCCCTTTCTTGAGGCTTCCCTCCCTCTTCTCACCGTTCCTCTGAGATTCCCGCTCTCCCATTACCCGGGATCTGCACGGAAAGGGCCACCACGTTTTTGGGACGGCCAGAATGTGACCTTCTGGGGGCCACGAGCCCCACAGGGGAAGCCGAGCACCCCCGGAGACGCGGGGCAGGGGGGGGAAAGCTGCCTGCGGCATTGGAGGTGGGGGCGGGAAGGCGCTTTGGCTCCTGCCACAGAAATTGATTTGCAGGGAGCGTTTGCGTCCCGTTTACCCCAGGACACGCTCTGCCAGGAGGGTGTTCCTCAGCCAGAGGAGCCTTAGGGACAACTCTGGTCTCGGTCCTGGACTCCTCTGGCTTCCAGGGGACACAATTCCCGCGGCGGATCAAGCCACCGGGCAAAGAGGGAGCCACGGCTGCTTGACGGCCCCCGATCCGTCCCGTCCGAGCCGGTGACGGCCGAGGGGCTCCGACCGGGACGTACCTTCTTGAGAGCCATCACCTGCACGGCGCAGAGCTCGCTGAGGCATTCTGCTATCTTCTCCAAGGGGAGCCTGGCGAGGACCAAGGCCGTTCCTGAAAGGCAGGAGGAGAGGGGCTCAGGGGCGGGAACGCAGCGTAAGGAGCGCGGTCGGCGAAACCCACCAGGGGCGAGGTTCCCGAAACGGGCCCTGCGTGCAGGCGGGGCTCCGGGGGCTGCTCCCCAAAATGGGGAGATGGTTCTCTGCAGCTTAAACCCGACTCTTGGGTTAAACCAGACTCCGAAATCCTTTCTGCGGGGGGGGAGGGCGGAAGGAATGCTGGCACGTGGGAGTGCAGGGGTGGTCTGAAGGCAGACGGGCGTCGGGAGCAGATCTGGGCAGCCTGGAGGGTCCCCGCAGCGTCCTTTCCCTTGCCCTTGCCCTTGCCCTTTCCTTTTCCCTTGCCCTTGCCCTTTCCTTTTCCTTTTCCCTTGCCTTTTCCCTTGCCCTTTCCTTTTCCCTTGCCCTTTCCTTTTCCCTTGCCCTTTCCCTTGCCCTTTCCTTTTCCCTTGCCCTTTCCTTTTCCCTTGCCCTTGCCCTTGCCCTTTCCCTTTCCCTTTCCCTTGCCCTTGCCCTTTCCCTTTCCCTTGCCCTTTCCTTTTCCCATTCCCTTGCCCTTTCCTTTTCCCTTGCCCTTTCCTTTTCCCTTGCCCTTGCCTTCTCCCTTTCCCTTGCCCTTGCCCCTTTCCCCTTGCCCCTTTCCCTGCCCTTGCCCAGCAGCACCACGAGGTCCGAGGAAGCTTCCCCCGCCCCACGGCTGAGGCGTTGCAGGGCTCCCACAAAACCCAAGCACGAAGGCGAGCGCTTGAGCCGCTCCCCGCCGCCACATCAAAGCATCCCAAAGGCAGGGGGGGCACAACCACCCCGCGCCGGGGGCGCCGGCAGAGCGCAGGGCCGGGGCTGACCACAACAACTGGGAGGAAAAATAAAAATTCTCCCCCTCCCCACCCCGGCTCACGATGCTGCTGGCGCCGATACGCGAACGCAAACAAGGGAAAAACCCGTGGGGTTTGTCCCTTCCGTGCCGGAGCTGCTCCATCTTTAAAGGTTTCAAGAAGCGCTCGAATCCATCGGGAATCTCTGAGGCCCGGACGCGAATCCTGCACCTCCCCGAAACCAGGCGCACGACCCCAATGGCCAAAGGCCTGGCGAGAAGCCAACGCTCCAACCATGGGCCAGAGTGGAAAAATTACATTCTTGTGCCCAAAGTGGCCCTAAAATGACAAATACGCGCCACGACCCAGCCTGCGCGTGCGGGAGCCCATTTCCAAGCGCTGGGATATGGCGGTAACCCACGGCCAGCTCGGCTGCGAGCGTTCCCAATGTTGTTGTTCCCCATTTCAAGTTCAGAGCAGGGATGGAGCAGGGATGGATGAGTCCCTCGACTAGGAGGGACCTGGCCAGGCTGGATCCATGGGCCCAGCCCAGTTGGGTGAGGGTCAACAAGCCCAAGGGCCGGGTCCTGCCCTGGGGTCACCACAACCCCAGGCAGCGCTCCAGGCGTGGGGCAGAGGGGCTGGAAAGCTGCATGGCGGAAAAGGCCCTGGGGGGGTTGGTCGAGAGGGGGCTGGATAGGAGCCAGCAGGGTGCCCAGGTGGCCAAGAGGGCCAGTGGCATCCTGGCTTGTATCAGGAGTGGTGTGGCCAGCAGGAGCAGGGCAGGGACCGTGCCCCTGTGCTGGGCACTGGGGGGGCCGCCCCTCGAATGCTG